GTGGTGCAGTTCAAGTCGCGAGAGTACTACCCCCCTGTAAGTAGGGGTTCTGCTATCTCAGCTGAGGAAAAATTTTCTCTGAACCTCAGATCGTGACCCGTAGCTCTAAGAATGAAAACCAGGGCCTAAGCCGGTTTCCTATCGAATATGCCTCGATCGCAGCTTTCCCTTCTTTTGAACCAGGGTCAACCTTTTCATTTCAGGTATCGGTATCACACGAACGTACCAGTAGTCGGAGGAGAAGCTGAAAAGAAGGCGGTCCAAACTTGTCGTTTTATGAAGAGTTTGGAGAGGGTGGTCATGAATTTTAATAACACCACTTCTTTTACAACTGGCAGTTCAATAAGAGCTCAAGGAATGCGATGAATCAGGAATTTTTCCGCTATGAAAAAGTGCAAGAGACTTACCAAGATGTCCGCATGCGACTCGAGGTGATCCAGGCCACCAACTCCGGAAAGAACACCTACAGCAGCGCCTAATCCAGCTGCTCTAGCCATCCCAAGATCAGCCAGAGTGTCACCAACCATGACAGCGTTCTAACAGTATTCACATAATAGTGTAAAGTAGTAGAGATAAAATAAGTTCCCGAGAGCGATCAACTCACCTCAGGCGCCACCTGAAGAACTCGACATATCAGGATAGCGTTATGAGGATGAGGTTTTGGTTTCGAACCGGGATCGTCACCACAAACGATGATATCGACGAGTTCTTCAACACCGAACCACCGCAACATAATCGTGGTGTTCTCTCTGTAAATTAGATTACTTATGGGATACATTTATGACGTTTAGCAATACTTTGCCATCTTGCCAGTAATCTACGAAAGAATTCAGCGCAGGGTAGCCTTGTTCACTGAAACTTCACTGTATTCGTAGAGTGTACAGGAGGTGCGCTAAAGTGGAGATTTAAGCAGGGGAGATCAATCTTGTATTGAGAAAGACACGTCCCCTAAGGTAGCTGACAAGGCGTTTTGCTGCGAAGGGTGAGCTCGTAGCGGCCTAGTACGGCCTAATTCCGCAGCGTTGAACTCCGTCCACGCCATCTGATCGGCTACTTCAGTACTTCAATCTTCTAGGGAAAATTGTGATTCCATTTCACACATAAATCACAGGCTCGAGTCCCAACGTCCACGATAAGAACGAAAAGAACAAAAAAACCACACTTATTTTGGTAAAAATATCGAAGGACCAGGAAGAGCTGCTACGCTTCAAACTACCGCTGGACATCTGTCACAANTGTTGACTGCGGGAACGCGTCGACTNGATTCTCGGAATGCCGTCACTAGAGACTCTCCGACCTTTCGACCTACTGCATTAAGATTTCACACATTCCTACTGCACTTCTATCGACCGTTTTGTCTCTCTCTTCTCTTTGTCCAAAATTTACAACCCGATTCTTTCCATGCTTCGCCTGATATGTCGCCGGCTCAATCAGGGTCAACCGTCCGTTGGACAAAGTCCAACGCGACGACGAGAGTAATGCCGAGAGTGAACGTACGCACGGAGACACAGACGGCTCGCGGGTGGCGAGAGTGAATGCCGGCGCGGAGAGCGGTGAACATCGGTCCAACGTCGCTCCAATATCGGTCCAACGTAACGGTTGACCCTGGTCAATCGCCTGTAGCCCATCCAATGTTCCAACCTTTGGCGGCTGTCCATAGAAAGCAGGGAGCGAGTACAAGAAGATAATGCGAAACGCAGAGGTGGCTAGAGAATTCCGAGAAAACTGAAGAGCATAGCAGATCAACGCAGCGACGCAGAAGACACATCATTCGGTGGGCGGACCATGTTATGTTTGGTGGAGTCTGTTAGAAGTCCATGGCGCCTAGGGTCCTAGTGACGGTTTCGATGTAGAAAGGTGGCGCTAACCTTTGCACTTGCGTGCCCAGCACTTCTAGCCATGGTAAGGGCTTCTTAGGTGGGTCTGAGCCCGAACTTTGCCTTTAATCAGGGGATCAGAGCAGGGCGCTCACGTGATTACAGCAGCCTCACGAGACTCGCTCAACGTGCGAATTAAAGTTTTTTTACCATATTACCCTTAGATTAGCGCTTTAGTTGACTTTAAGTTGTGAATCCTTGAATATGAAACCCTCACCTATTGTCTGCCGTACAAATGGCAATCTTCACGTCGTTCTCACGTAAAGCACTGAATAAAGATCTCATATCCTGAATGGCCCGAAGTGTAGATGGACATCGTGACTGACTGTCTTTGATGCAATCATCAATAATATTCAACTCCTAAAGATTACTGAGTAACTTAGACTGCAAGAGATCTATAAAGTATGTCACAAAAACTAATAACTAGCTCACAGCTTTGGAGAGCAAAAATTTTAGGTCAAATGGGACTGCGTGTCAAGAGAGAATGCAAGTGCAGTTCAGGAGGAATTACGTAATTTATTTGAATCCTTTATAAAACGAATAATATTAAGGGTGATACAATAGCTAATATTACTTCACTATTTTTCATACCATATACTTCTCTGAAAATATGGGCCAAAATCAACCGCAAGCCGATGACTCAATTAAAAGCATTGAACATGATGGTGGGAGCGCGAAGCGACTTTGTTTGTAAATCGCTTAGTAGAATAGACCCCTTAGCGCTGAGGGAGAAGGGTTGGGCCCATGTCCCAACGCCCTTCCACTAACCAGGAAGGTCTTCCAGGAAATGCCCAGCTTTCTCAAAACGGTTTTTTGCATGATATAGGGTACGTGCATGGAACACAGAACTGTGGTTCATTTTTCCTGAGCGACCCTCTGAATACCAAAAAAGGAGCGAAGAAAAATTTCTTAAGGAACTGCCGTTCTTAACTTTCTTCACCAGTTTTTTAGCCAAAGTCTACGTATAAAGGTTGCTGATGGTCCTAATTATAGATATGACATAAGTTGTTTACGCTGACGCTATTTTTCGCGAATTTTGAAACGCCAACACAAAATGCAAAAAATTGTCACTGCGAGGATTCGAACCACGGACCACTTCATCACCCCTTTTTTGGTATTCAGAGGGCCGCTCAGGAAAAATGAACTACAGTTCTGTGTTCCATGCACGTACCCCAACA